GAACTAATAAATTAATAAATGTCGTTCAACCCCCATAATAATTTCACTCAGTTTCGCGCGATATGCATAATGATATTCGACAGGAACAGGTGTGATCGATAAAGTGTAAAAAAATCGCGAAATACAGAAAGTACGTCGTAGAACACGTAGAGGGGCTCTGTTTCCAAGGGGAACAGCTGTTCCACCCCCTCCGGGGCGTCTTTTCGGGAGATCTGCTGGTATTCAGTCTATCTGAAGAAACTATCATGCGGAGGAGGTTTCGAGAGGGCACCGTTGAAGGAACGGGCAGCTGGATGGGCAGACTCGAAAACTTTCCGTCACGCCTTCCGTCTACTATTGTTCGTATCTAACGCTGCTCTGTTTCGCCCTACAAAATCTCTACGATCAAATAATTCCGCGGGAAGACATAACTGCCGTTTTCTTTTACTTCGAATTTTATGCTAATCTTCCACAACTTTTTTGCAAGCATGTGTACGAGGTCCGTCGAGGGCAAAGGGTTAATAAAGTGCGCTTAAATATACATTTATCAAGCGGTGGTCTCGCTTTCACACGAAAAGCTAATTTAGGGTAGCGGGATGGCAGGAACAACTATCAACAAGAGAACATCCTGTGTTAAATGTTCTCGCTGTTCCCCTTCTGTCTCTCTGTTTGGTTGCACGCTTTTCAGATCAATTACACGCTGTTCTCGTTGGATATTTTGTTTAAAGCTTTGTTGTAAACCTACTCTTGAATAGTTACCTAACTTCCTCGAGTGAAATTTTATGAATTTGAAGTGCAACATTTGTTTAAAATTTATTGTCTACAGAAAGTCTGAGCTGAGAAAGTCTGAGCTGAGGAAGTCTGTTAAATGAGTGTCTAAGGAACGTAGATGTCTTCTGGATTTTAAATGGTAGAGTAAATTAGTTGTAGCACGAGCAGCAACGTCAACAGCATCGTCGGCACAGCACTTTTCCTTCAACGGTTTAACCTTTCTGGTTGGCGTGTGCCTCTATTCGTGCTATCCTCGGATTCCACATTTTTAAGAGCATCTGCATCCCAAACAGCTGGGACGCCACCCCCTTCGTCACGCAGCCACGTAGTGGTCTGTGACTGATACACAAACAAGAAATTTCCATCTGGCAGAGGAGACTGGACCTTAACGAAATCGTTTCGTCGATTCAGGTAGTGGAACCAGAAAGGATTACGGCTGGCATTTATCGAAAATGTTTAGAAATTTGCGTGGTCAGGGCAACTGCTGGGGCGTGGCACCAATGTGAACGTGCGGTAGTGATGGGTTAGTCGATTTTTCATTTTTATACTTGCATTTATGAATTCCTAAATTTATAAGTTTATAGATTTTGAGTCTTCTTAAAATTTTCAAGTTTTTCACGTATCTCTATCGTAGTGCACCAGTGCCTCTGAACATTTCAAAGAGCATTTGATCATTAAAGACAGGGATGGAAGCGGATGATAGGCGAAGGACCACGTGCCCCGTGGACAGATGACCAAACATGTTGGAATAGATCGAATTTCCTTGTAAAGGCGCACTTACATACGGAACCCACGCGAGGGATTCTGTTTGTTTTCGGCTTCCTTGGCGGGTGAACGTGCACGTGGAAAGGCAGCTTTGTTTTCTTACGCGCTCTCCAGGATACCTGAGTGCACAGGTGATTGCCGACACGTCCTTCTTTGTTCGATCTTTATCCCCCTCGTTCTTTGCTTCATCCAGGAACTGCATTTGATAACATTTTGCAAAGACTTCCAAGTACGCGAGGACTTAAATTGAACATCTAGTGTACGTGACGAGAATGATAGATTGTGGTCATTATAATGATTACCTAGGAATTATAGTGATTAGGATAACGTAGAGGGTAATGTAGCATGTAATAATAATTGAGTGTGTAATAATAATGTAGAGGATAATATGAATGATGTAGATGCAAATAACGATGTAAATGAGGTGGAAGATGCAACAAACAGTAAGCGATGTTAACTAGATTTGCTAACTAGCATATTTAATCTTCTGAATACAAGTGATAGCAACAAAATTTTGATTTCAAAGAACCGTCCATCATTTCAGAGATGAACGAGAAATTTGACTAAAGGAGAAAAGCTATTCGCCGAATAAAAGTTTCCTTTTCTTTATTTCGTTTGGAACACATGCTGCCAGCTGCTCGGTCAACGATTAAAGGATTGAGTCCCAAAATTTTCAAATTCCATTATTCGCGATTTCTGTGTCCGTGAGACAGCTGTTTTCCTCTCGAATTCGTGCCTTCCTGCACTTCCCAACGATTTGCGATTTATAGGTTAGAATCGAACGACATTCAAAAATGTGAACTCCGTGTTTTAAAATGTAGGTTCAGTGTACTGCGCACAGTGTAAACCGCTGTGTACGGAAACGCTATAGTCGAAGTACCGTTTGGGTCACGATTGACCCGGCACCGCCATTTTAGGGTTGAACATACTATCTATTAGAGCGTTCAGAAGCGTGGAAAATGATCGAGGCATAATCGTCTTGGTTTCGGGGTATTGAAATCGACAGTATTAACTACATCCTGACGCAGAACCCCTGCGGATCGGTTTCTCTCTAATTTTCGACCACGCACTGACGTCAATGCATTCCCCGTGTGTTCCGGTCTGGCTAGCCGGGACCGGAAGCAACGGACTCGTTGGGGAGCGCGGAGCCTTCAAACTGAAAATCCCCCACGGATATCGATGTTCCCGCGTTTAAACGACCAAAGGAAGTAGACATTCCCTGGAGGACCCAGTTGCTCTTGGAAAATGATGCTGAAAAACACCTGCATCATGTTCACATTCTACATAGTACAACAGTGTATAATCAAGTCTAGACAAAGTAACTAATATTCAGATAGATGTATGATTTCTAACTAGCAAATGCAGACAACGATAATTAAACTCACAGACTATTTTTGCAAACAAATTTCTTTGGATAGCACGAAGAATTCTCTTAATCAGTTCCATCAGAGAACATCGCTCAAATTTTGCAAGTTAAAGCGTACGTTATGTATGCACAACATGAGCGTGAAAGAGTAAATTGAATAATTACCAAGTAAATCTGATAACCTCTCCAGTATTTACACCAGTTAAACTAATAGAAGCGTATTACAATGAAGAAAAAATCGAAAGCGTTACTCTTCAACGTTGCCCATATACGATGCACTTCCATAAGATCGCATACAATTAAAACTACCCACTTAATTAGACACATTCCTCAGACACAGATGAAATTAATCGATCAAGATATGAAAATAAACAGCTTTTGTTAAAAATAAAAGTAACGTATGTAAACCACTTACTTAAGCAATCAACGTGTTAACCGTACGTGTAATTCTCAGTTACTGGATTAGAAAGTGATAGTGCTTATCCATTTTAATTGCGTGTAATAAGTGTTAAGGCGTGCAACGGATATCGTGTCGTCGTAATTCTACGATTGCTGATAAAGATGGGTACGTATGCAGTTCGCTGAAATGTTGCAAGAAATCTACTAAAGCAATCACAGAGCTCGGTAATAATCGTTACGCCGGCTGACCATGGTGATCACGATGTTCACCTGTCCATTCTACTCACACACGTAAACTGTCGTGCCCGCATCATCGACGGTATACGGTGTTTTTCAACTCGGTTTCTGTAACGGTCGAATTTACCCCCATCGCTTGGAAACCGTGATACAAACGAAACACGTTCGAGTCCTTGAGTCGTGATCGATCTACTTACCAAGTTTCGCTTCATTCGCAGTTGCAACATTGCGCTTCATAATTGCTTGTACGAATTTTCAATCCGATTGGTCGTTGCCGATAATTTGTAATAATGAAGCAATTATAATGATCAAGGAATTATGATGGTCAAGCAATGCGACACATGGGTTAAGAAGTACAATGTAGCAGTTATTAGACTCAAAATTTGACATACTTCCAGTAGGTGATTTTTGAGGCCAACAAGGATTAGGGTCGTAAAAAACGAGACGCGCCAAGTAGCCCCCAATGGGATATCAAATGCGAGACCTTGTGCTGAACTAAAATGTTGACCTTGAACGATTTTGCTGACTGACATTCACAATACCCCATAGAAAACACGAACCCCTATCCTGTTGCGTATCGTAATACAATTTACGTATCCGAATCGAGTATCACGATCCCCGCGCGTTTGACTAAGACGTTGGTTCAAACGGAAATTACGATCGTCAGGTTTAAATACGATCATGACTTAACGGATGCATTGTTGCAAAAAAAGACCTGTTCGCGAAAGGAAAAGGAATTGCAACGTTTGCGACGGTCAATTTTCAACGCGAAACTCGTTCTTTCGTTCCCTCTCCCTCCTTCTGTCTGGTCCACCTGCTCTCGGACGATCGTTTTTTCCTTTCTTTTCGTCGCAGAACACCGGACTTCCCGCGAAAATACATACAAAGATTGAACACCTCTCGAATCTGTGAGTCGGTAATTCGAAATAATTGCGATCCCCAAACACCTGTAGCCTAACGAAACCTTTCGAGGACGTCCCCTTCGAGCGACCCTTCTACCGAACTTACAGGAAGGTTCCAACGCATTACCGGTCCCTCGCGATATTAGAAATCTATCTGATTCGAACGAAATTGAACCACCCGAAAGAATCAGAAGAAAAGTAGGAAACGATTTTCGAAAGAAAGCGCGGCCCATTCGAACAACGAAGCCAGCAGCCGCGATCGTGATCGCTCTATACGACGTGCTACTTAGAAAAAATAAAAGGTAAGCTTTATGGCGCGAGTTTCTTCCCTTCTCTGGCCAAAATCGTTTAGCATAATCCGTTGGACGGTTCGAGGAGCGAAAGAGCGACAGGGACGAAGAAACGAGGAGCGAAACGTGGTCGGTTAGTCAGAAGAGGTTAGGAACAGTTGGCGCGAGCGAGACGGCGGTACAGTAAGTGCGCGCCATTTTTACTGCGCATTCGCGTTCGCGCACCAATCAGATTTGAACTTGAAAGGACGATGGTGGGGTGGCGAACCTCGTGGCTTCGGTAAACGGCGGACTCGGAGCAAGCTTCATCGTCTTCGAGTCCCGAGCAGAACGAGTCTGACCGTCGAACGGTGAGGACCAAGTTATCTAGTTCAGTTTGCGTGCCTTTGTGAGAGAGAGCGTCGCCTTTCCGAGGAATTCTGACAGAAAAGTCGAAGGAAATCGATCGGAGTACCCTCGAGACCAGTCACCGAGGACACCTGTGCACGCGGGAGCGAAGAAAACGGAGCATCCCGCGTTTTTTTCAAGAACCAGCCAAGAGTCGTTTCTTCAAGAGTCGAAGCGATTTCCCTGCTCCGATTCAACTCTGTCTCGATATCGTCGAAACATAAGAAGTTCTCGAGATGCTGGCAGCTTCGATCTGTCGCGAAGTTCACTTCACGGTGTTGTCCAGCTCGACCATGGCCTCGCGCGTACCACGTTGCTTGTTCGGCAAGCCGAATTCGAGAGAAACCGTGGAAATGCTGCAGGAGGCTCTCGACGCGGAAAGGAGCAAGTTCGCCAAACGATGGGGCGTTGATCCGAGGTCCGAGGACAAGGAGAATAATTACCAGAGAAAGTGCAACGACAAGTACGAGCAGTCGCCCAAAAAACGGAGCAATCCGTACTCTAGACAGACCAATATTCATGGTGAGTACACGCCTCTCGATAACGTGACCAAACTTCGCGTCGAAAATCTTTGGTATTTCCCGTGTCGGGAGATAATGGAGCCGGTGGGTTCTTGGACACACGTGATGCATCGAGTGTGACTCAGCACTACTTAGGAAACTCGGTACCGCGGTGCTTCTCGGAATTTCCCATAAATGGTAGCAACTTAGGAATAGCCTAAATATTTTAACCAAAAAGTTGCAAAGAAAAATCATTTATTTACTAACCGAATTTATTTATTTTGAAATTATTCATTTACGTATGAACGGTCGTAGATCTGGAATTCGATTGGGAGGGTCGGTACAAGTCGAAATAAAGTGAATAAAAAGTAGCGTGGCGGTGAAGAGTATCGCATAGGTTTTTGGCGGGAAAGCGACCAAGTTCGGCGAGGGAAGGGAAGGTGCAAGGCGCATGCGCAGAGCCGGTCGCGTGGCTCCGACCTGTTTTCTTATAGTCTAGCCTCGCTCCTCCTCACCTCTTCCGCCTTCCCTCTTCCTACCGCTTCCAGCTTCTGGTTTTACGCGGCTGTCCAGAAACTTTCGACCCTCCGCTCCCGACCACTATCGCTTTCCAAAATTACAAACCTAACATGGTAGTCGGGATCCGCCTTTTCTCTCTCTTCCTCGATCGTCGCGTCGCGTCGCGTCTATCTCGAATGGTCTGGTCCAAGTTTGTTGGATCAATTCGCGCGAAACAAGTTCCTCGAGCGTATTTGCCGAGGCATCGACGTTAAAACGCTCGATTCGGTATAAATACGAGGGCGGCTTGCGAAGAGGTAGAAAGGTATCCGAAGTGTATCCTCGCAGGTCGCCCAGTGAATCACGCCGTGTGAGTCACCGGCGTGTTTGAAGGCGGACAAAATATCCGAAGGGTCCTCTGAGTCATCGAAGGGCTTCAGTTTTCGAGTCAGAACTTCGCGATCGCATTCCTTGAATTTCTTCGGGTCTAACGTGTCCTGTCGAGACCACACGTATATGCAGCATGCAGCCCAACTATCGCCCCTGCACTATTGGATATCGTTTCAAGGCCATGTGCACACTTTCTTGGCGATCGTTTGGGAACAATAACATCTTTCGATTCATGCATGATTATTGAATTAACTCCTTGGTCCACTTGTAGATGCATGCTTCAAAGGATGAATCTTCTTATAATCAAAGTTCTAATATTCTGTGAAGTCCCACTAAATCTTTAGTAAACCTCAAATTGTTAAACCTTATTCCACAAAAGATAGGACGTTACAAGACCACTTGGTTTGGTCATGCTCGACCTGTGTTAAACGAAACAGTTTACTCACCTTGCAAGAGTTTGTTCTTCAAGCAGAAGCATACGAAAAGTCAACGGTGCGAGACGCTGTAACGAGCCCATTTTTGACCGACACCTGTCAACCCCTTCTACGACACTAGGACGAAATCGACTTTTCCCACGATTAAATCAAACTCCCGTACACGCGATACCGTCAACGGGACCTTTGGAAGGTCGTACGCCACCTGTCGCAATAAGGGTACTCCTTACGTTTGCATTAGCTCTATCTATTCGAAGCTGCACCTTTTATTCCTCCACATGAATGTATTACAAGGTTACACGATTTCGTGTGAGAAACTTATTATGAAATTCCATATAAGTTACATCGACTTAGAACTTCCTAATTTGTTAAAAATGGATTCATACCTACACAATTGTCTACACAAGGGTTAAAAGGCAAATGCACCTGGAATTGCAAATTCCATATTAAACTTAAAAAAATATTTCCAAGTTAGAAATTAAAAAAATTGAGTTGAGTTTAAATCCTGAAAAGTTCTCGGGTGCATTCGGAACAGAAGGTGGATTCAGGTTCTTCACGTGTGCTCTTTAAAGCCTCGAAAATAGACTGACCTCCTTTTAAGGAATCCTCGGTTGGAAATCCTTCGATTGAAAAACGTTCGAGAAGGAAGAAAGAGAGAAAAGTGGGTGTAGTTTCACGAGAGGAACCACGGACAAAGGTAATCTCGATCTTTGTTCCCGAATCTCGTTTCGAAACATATAGACAGGTAGAGGTTGGCCCATTGCTGGACCAAAATTTTCTGGATACTAGGCGAGGAAACAGATGTTGACAGACGAAATCCTCGACACGGAATTCAAGCCGAGGGAAGAAACCAGAGGACGTTGGTTAAGGTAGCTCGGTTTCGCGCACCATATGGCGAACCAGTGCGAAAAAGGGAGAACCCGAGAAAAAGGATCGTTGCGTCCTCGACATATGGCCTCAATCCTATGATTTGTCGAGACTGCACTTGTCGTTATCGAAGGACTCTTCACTTTTTTCAGACCATAATGAATTAATTTACAATCGGTTCAAAGTCAGAGGGTGCATAATTTATAACTTCATCGTAGTTCATCTGAGTCTAATGAATCTTAACATTAGAAGTTTCAAACTTTATTTGACTTGTTATTGCAATCACTCACAGCAAAATGGAGTACGATAGACTCGCATTGCTCCGCAAAGTAAAAGTAAATAATGACCGCATTGTTGGTAATCATTTCTGTTTCACTTGATCTCTGGTTCTTTCAATCTGGATCGCTACATTCGGTCTTGTTACAAAAAAAGAAAGAAAGAAAAAGAAGCCGAACAATGTAAACAAGAAGTTGCCAGCGTGATACCATTAACGCGGAATCGCACCTGCCTAGTTTGAGAAAGGGACGAGAGATCGAGTAAAAAGGGAAACAGCAAGGGCGCTCAGGTGACTACCTGATCAGAAATAGGTTGTCCACAAGACGTTTTGTTCGTTCGCGGCTTTTGTTGTGGAAATTTTCGTGCTTCACGCGTGGTGTATTCCCCGTGCATGGTTTTACGCTACGTTGCAATAAGCTGACCCTCGATTCTGTGACAAAAGTCTCTTGATGATACTTTCTCGCGAAGTTAAACAGGTTATATGGTCTTAGATTTGTTTATTTTTTGCGTGAGATTTTTTCTCTTCTGGAAAAGCGAATTTAAAAGAATTTGATCCGAATCCTGCTCACAAAATTTCTCCTAATTTGAAATTTCGTTAATAAGATTTCCTTGAAGTTTGAACGCCAACATTTACTGATCTAAACCTTGTCCCGTTTCGTGTTGCAGATTATTGGCGAGCTCGAAAGGTGTGTGACGCGAATAAAAAGCCTCTCGCAACGTCGATGGACTCCGCGAAGCAACAGAACGAGAAATCAACGAAGACGACGATGAAATCATCGAAGAAAGCGGCGCAGAACTGAAGAAAAATCGCCGCTATTCCGAATTCTGTATATTTATTGCCGCTTGTAAATTATCGTCGACCAATGTCCTTCGTTAGAGCGTATCAATTGTTAACTATAATATTATTTTCTGTACATATCACAAATTAATTTATGGAGGTTTGGATGAGCTCACCGATGCGAAGCGTAGGAACCAATTTTATATTTCTTGCTTTCGAGAAAGGGTATAAAAATTTCTCGTATAAATAACCCTTTTACGAACGACGTACATATGCGTCCCAACGAGGCAATACGATAGTGATCTTCCATGAAATTATTTATTAATCATTAAACGAGGAGTTGCTTTGAAGCATAAGTGAGCCATCGAAAGCCTGAATCGATGCTTCCTCGAGCGAAGCAACAATTGCAGCACCTCCAAAGAATAATCGAATACTACAGGTGAAACTCCACGCTGTTTAATCTCGTCTTCCGAGAGAGAATGGAGAAAGTCCTAATGTATATCTGACCGTTTAGAATTATGGAAAAGAAAGTCTAGTCATTTAGTTGTTTAAGTGGAAATTTAATAAACGATCGTGCTTTCATACTACACATTGTGTCCTCGATTACCATTACCCTGTTACGGTTTATGTTCCTTCATTGTTCTGTATTTAAATATTGTATGTACACGGTGTCCTTCGTACAAACTTTGTATAATACTTTTGTAATTAACATTCGAGTCAATTTGAAACGTGAACACGCGTAGATACGTGTCCCACATACGTCGTACTTTCATTTGTAAAGCTGGCAAAATTTATACGAAACCGTGTAACATCCTGTATATCGAACAACGTTAGGAAAATGGCCGAGTACAATATTTCATGGTATTTAATGTAAACTGAAGAGTTTGATAGTATTGCTAGAACTAAGCAAAGGATGAAATTGTATCCTTAATAGTTTTTATTATAGCGTGTCATGTAGCATCTGCGGCAGACAATGTGTTAACTAAGAGTTCGTGTCTTAGTCATTCGCTACGCTTAAACGTTCGACACGCGAAAGCCGAGAAGTAGTCGAAAATTAGACAGCTGAGTAATATGGACGCCGCTTTGTAACGTACATTTCGTAACATCCACCTGGAATCGTTCCATGGTGGTCTGTAGCACGTGTGGGGTAAACTATAGGGTGGAACCGAAAAATAATTCCAATATGGCTGTTCCACTACCACAGTAAAAATGGCCGCCTTAATAAAAATTCTTAAGGATACTTTATTTATTCTATTTCAATTTCCTGTATTTCTTTGCAATTCGGATTGTCGAATCGTTGCAAATTTTAATTTCTTGCTTTCGAGAATTTATATTAAATCTCTACCGGTGATCTTTGTATTAGTCAATCTTAGTTACCTCGCTATTTGTAACATTACGAGCAATTAAAATAAAAGAGAATGACAAAATTATTTTTTACAAAATTTTATTCACCATCCATGTACCATGTTTTTGGTACACCCTGTGTAAACGCGTGTCCAAGCATTTACTTATCTTTGAAGTGGCTGAACATGGGGGTGGTTGAGCACGGTATATACGGTTAATTATAATGCGTGATGCACCGCAGGGTCTTCTACCATGGGGGGAATTGTACGAAGGGAAGCAGCTGGTTCATGGTTTTAATGGCTGTCATCCTAGCTGGTCATTTCGATAATGGTAACCAATACGGCTAGTTTCAACGAATATTTTGTTCCAACATTTTGAGAATTTCAAAGTTCGTATCGAGTTGCAAAATTCGGCATTGGAATCACAGTGTTAGTCATCGTTTAACACTTAATAAACGCATAGAATATTAAGAGGGAAGGTTCGGGTTCCCGTTTCGAAGTATAATTGGAAACCTAAAACAGGACGTGATCTCATCGCGTTATTGTATCCAGGATCGTTAAGGACCTGGTCGTTGCGATATCCAATTACTCGAGAAAAGAGAGAAGTTTCGGGCGTAGAATAAAACAGAGAAGAAAATGGCGACGAGTTACGACACACACGAAGCAAATTACGGGGAAAAATTGGGAGACCATGGTGAGAGACGTGGTCAGATACCTTTACATATTTTCTGAATTTATTTTAGATTTCTAGGTTTCGAGATTCATGTCTATATTTCTCCTTAGATTCGCAGATTTCTGTAATATCTAGGTTTCTACACATGGATATCTGTATTCGTAGATTCCTTACTTCCATGCTTCAGCTAAAAGTTAGGTCCTAAACTATGCTTCAAGATACCTAATTACGTTCATAGATTCTTGTACAGTTTCTATGTCCCTAGATTACGTTCTGTCTCTGTATCTCCATGTGTGCAGATTCCTACATGCTCAAATACCTGCAAAGATCTCCGTCTACATTCCTGTATTACCCAACCCCTATGATTCCCACGTCCTGCAATCCCTACGACCCAGATTCCTGCGTCCTTAAATTCCTACGTGCTTAGATTCCTACATGTAATGGACAAAATTTCCAAAACGAATTTGCAAATTACCAATATTTATCGCATTGTAAAACAAGTTTCAGTGTGCACTTAATTGGTCGAAGCTTTCTTTGAAATTACACCTGATCCCAACTTCCGATGTTGATGGATCGCCCGCTCCATCGATCAAACTTCTTTTCTTTCACGAAACTAAGATTAATCGATCACTTCTTATACGACGATCGATTCATTAACGGTCATTTAGGGCTGCTCCTTTTTTCCTGTTTACATGTAAGCGGTTCCTGGAAGGAATTCGATACGCGCTTAGAAGGTCGTTCATTTCAATTAAAACTCTAACATTATTTTATACTGAACGTATTTAATTAATCGATGTGTTAATTGAATAACGTGTTTAAATGTGATCTAAATGTGATTTGAATGTGATCTAAGAACATAACTTCTTTTTCAAAAGAGAAGACATGACCGTTGCAACAAAGTACAAAAATGAAAGTTATCGAAGTCGCAAGGTGTCCTGACACGTGTAACTGCTACAGTAATAAATCATATCGAGTGGTCAGAAAGGACGGTACTTTAAATATTTTCAGCGTACATGTCTGGACAGGAACAAGAAGCATAATCGAAATAGCGATAAATCACGATGATTCCAATGATGATCAACAATAGCCTAACGAACTTGCCAAGTGGCATTTCATTTTCCAACGGTAGCGCCCTATGGTCTCCATATTAACTAATACCCTGTAAACACGGGTCACGAGGGGACCAACTGGCTACTCTAATTAAAGGACATTCATATCGAGTGGACCTTAGTCTGAACCCTTTTTTATTCGGGTTCACGGAAACTGGTCTGGATAACCGTTTGCAATGGACACTTCATTTATCATTTTCTTCCAATAACGTTTATTGTCAGAAACATTAACGTCTTTTACTTATTATAAGTTATCGGTTGTGGTTACGTGAGAAGGTACGCGTGTTAGGTTGTTACTTTTAATCTTTCGAATTTGATCTTTGATGTACAGGAGTGGATACATGTTTAGAGTGTTAAGCGATGGAGTGAATGATTTCTAAGTCTTTCTTCCAATTTCTTCGAATTTCTTCCAATTTTCTTCCAATAACGTTTATTGTCAGAAACATTAACGTCTTTTACTTATTATAAGTTATCGGTTGTGGTTACGTGAGAAGGTACACGTGTTAGGTTGTTACTTTTAATCTTTCGAATTTGATCCTTGATGTACAGGAGTGGATACATGTTTAGAGCGATGGAGTGAATGATTTCTAAGTCTTCGTGAGAAGTAGAAGGTCAAGTCTAAGGCTAGTAAAGGGACAGAGAAAGCTTAAGAGCAAGTTTGTAGTTATTTTTGCAAGGATTAAACTTATGCTCTAGCGTGTGGTAAGGACAGATGTCCCACGGTAACCTCTACTCCGATTCCTCTGTTCGATGGACCAAGACTTACCGCAAAAACTGACCAACCGTATTGAACCATCGACCATCGTCTTCCAATCTATCTCTCACGGTGGACCCATTGTGGGAATCTTTGTTGCGAACTCGATTATTGCACCTGCCCTACAACTTGTTATTCCAAGAAGAGTCTCCAATCTATCCTGGACCCTACACTCCTAGACAATCTTTTCGTGTCCACGTGATGATTAATATTAAAATAAAACGGTAAAAGAGAGTGCTAGGATATTAGTGTTGCAGCATCAAATTTTTGATGTCCTACTTTACAATGTCTGAGTGCCAAGTTACGATTAGTTTAACTCTAGAGCTCAAAATTATAGTACCAGAGTGTTAATGTAATATTAACGCAAAGTGCCAACGCTGAAATTACAGTCTCCACACAAAGAAGCTAGTTAACTTGCGAGACGATTCTAACTCGCTTGACCCAAATGGTTCAAGTAGCGCTACTCTAATGCGTAAGTCTAATTAATTACAGTTGGCTCGCGATACGTGTCCCGTGTCATGTTCATACCACGAACGAGGGAGTTATATTCTCGTGCGCTATCGATGGCGTGCGAAAGTTGCCCCATTAACGACAAGTGTACCTTGTCCACGAAACAGAACATAGCGAAGGAAATAAGATAAAAAGGATATAAACGGGCAGTACAACGCTTTGCTAGGAGGCGAGGTTTCCGAAGAGGGGTTTCGTTGGCAGGATGCCTCGCCTAGATCCTGTCTGGAGGCCGAAGATAGGTCCTTCGAACCGTGAAATCACTTCCAGTCTGAATATAAAGAGCGAAAAAACGAGTGTTGTCCGTTTGTGTTTCCCTCGTTCCGTACCACTGCCTTCGAAACTGCCTCGCGAGTCGTTCAACGCCTGTTAGCCTTCTTCCCTTTGTGCACCAACGTTTGCACTGCGCCCTGCGATTTGAACACGAACCTATATCCCGATATTTGCTATCGATATCACGTTTTCTTCTTAACACTGTACCAACCACTCCAACCCACTGTTTCACCTTTTGGAGTTAAAAATTGTATGCTATCGTTGCAAGTTTTATGCTATCCTATACTCACGTCTATATACTTGCTATCCTATTCGAGAATATTTTAAGAAATCTTGAGTAATTAAAAATAGGTTTTAATTTCATAGAAACTTGACAACACAGGTGAAGAAACAGCAAAGTCGTTAAGAATGCAGATAGCATGGAATTCGGCTAGAAAGTGGCTTGTACCGAGCTTGCGACACGAAGAGAACGATTAGCACTTAAAATTCAGCTACGACCACGAGGTACATTATCATTCGAAAGCAAGCCAGTCAGTTTTCGATTGCTCGTCCGAAAGTGCATCCACTTTAAGATAAGTGGTCAAGAAATGCTACGATTCGACTAAGAGATAGAAGCGTTTTAAATTTATCGCGAAATGCCGGGACGTTCTTACGCCAGTTCCGTTAATGCATTTCGCGGGCTCTTAAACCTTTTTTGATACCAATGCGTTCCTTGTAAACGGACAGTGAAATGTGTCCTTACATAACGTTTGTGAAGGGTATAACATTTCTATCTTTTTCACGATTTGATAATGTAAGTTCAAAACGTTCAAATTTCATTTTGAAATTTTTATTAAAATTAGAATCTATTGTGACATAGAGATGAATCTCATTTTGCGACCATCTCATCATTTTTGTTAATAAATTTATCAAAGAAATTAATAATATGAGGTTAACTACCCTATCCTCCCCTATTAGAAAATAATTTCTCCCCTAAGATAAAATAATTAAGACCACACTAAAAGATAGTAAATGACGAAATGCCTTGTTCCCAAAGAGACTGTACACCGGCTGTTCCTCGGCATTTTCGAGCAACTCCCTCTTTTTCCGGAAATAGACTTCCTTTCCGTAGGTTAAATCCCAGCGCACACACGGTCACGCGTGTTTCTGCGTATGGTCCATGCACGAGTTTGTAAGCCTCCACATGGGAGTAGAGGGATACACGTTGTTTCGCTTATAAATAGATACACGTAAATGGATTTAAGCGTATGGAAGGAATGCAGTTCGATGCACGCAAGGCGCCTTAAAACGTAGAAGCGCTGCGGGCGTTCTGCACCTCGTAAAGTAGCCAAAGAAGCTTCAGTTATTGCGGTAAAGTTGCGCGGAACGGTACCCGTCGCGAAAAACCTCTTTGACAAACGCGAGTCGCGTGTAGGGATCGACATGCTGGCTGCAACGTTGAGGTGAGATTACATTCCTCCAACGCTTTCATTAAAATTTCGATTCTACCATTTTGTAAATGGGAAGCTTGTATTCTGTTGAAGGAGTAGTCACGATGGAGCTTGTAGAATTATAACTAAAATAAGTCATGGGTGAACGAATTGGGGGTTGAATATTTCTGAATTCGTAGATCACTGTATTGACATATTTTCAGATCTTCATATGACACAAATCTTTACATTTTTGATATCTCTACATTTATCTATTTGCAAATTCCTTCATCTCCAGATCTCTGCACCCCCAAATCTACATAACACTAGATTGCCACGCTTCTGTCTCCAAATCCTTACAT